GGTAGAAGTAACTAATAAAATTACTAAAATAAAAAAAAAAAAAAAAAAAATTAAAGTCTAGAGTAAATACCCGATAAATTTACATTTCAATTTAAAATCTATCAAACTATTCATGTTAGTTGAAAATTGAGATATTACTTTAGTCAGGAAATCAAATTTTTTTATTGTATAAAAAAATTATTTGCTATAAAGATTACAAATAAATAGTTTTTATTTGCTATAAAGGTTACAATTGAAAAATTTATTGGGAAAAGTCATCGCAGATGTTAATGTATGCCATGCTGAAAATGAAATATTTGGATTGCTGAATATTCGCTTCCAATGTTGTACACCTGTTGAATTTCCCTGTGGACCTATGACAAAATGACCAATTTCATCAGTTTTTTTCGTATTTTGGCAAACCTAAAATGCAATACAAATCATAGATGTTGTCAAAGTTTAACTAATATTATCCTTTAATTATTACTTTAAACTATTATTTTATTTTAAACTATTTATTTTACATTTTTACTTTAAACTAATTAACCAATATTTTACTTTAAACTAACAAACAAATTGTATATAGGTTAATGTAATATGAAGATTATATTTTAATAATGCACAAATTTTCATGCAATTTCTTTTTCGTTTTTTTTTTTTTTTTTCTATAGAACTATACATAGATGAATGATAAATTAACTTTTAGATGAATGATAAATTAACTTTTTATTATCATTAATAAATTTGCTGTTATCAATTTTCAAACCATAAATGATTATTGGTTAATAGTAATAACATCAAATATTAACACTAATTGCTTATATTATTGATAATGATGAAAAGATAATTTTTATCATTTATATGTAATATAGAACGGAGAAAAAAAGAAAAAAAAAAAGATGCATAAAATTTTGTTGTATTTCTTTCAATAACATTTTTATATTTATTCTTTCGATCAAAAATAATATTTAAATTTTTTATATTTATATATATAAATTTTATCGAATATAATTTTAATTATTCATTAAAGTTTCAAAATTTGCAGTTTTTTTTTTTTCAGAAATACCTTAATGAGAAGATTAGCATTGTTGGATAAAATAATGGGAATGGTAAATTAAATTCCATCGTTTGTTTGAAATAAATTTTGGTGCTAAACGTTTACTGCATGTTTCATATTTTTCCAATATTCGACATCTTTGCAACAATTGTACACTGAGAAAAATATCTGCAAAAGTAATATTTTTATTTTTTGTTTTTTTTTTTTCAAAAAAGATTTTCGTTTTTTTTTTTTCTTTGAAGTAAGATTTTCGCTTTTTCTTTTTCCATTCATTTATAAGAGATTATTAAAAAAATGTATTTTTTTTTCCTAGAAATAATTGATAATAAAAAAAGAAAAAAGTGAGGAAAACTGCAAAATAATTGGCAATAAAATTGCTATTAGAAAAGAAAAAAATAAATATTAATTTTTTTTCTTTTTTTTGGACATTATAGGATAATTATTGAAATCATTTAAGAAATTTTTTAAAATTATCAAATCAACAAATGTTGATTCGAATTAATTAAATATGTATAACCTACCACAGTTTTGTCTTCCTGCAATATCTTTCACTTGAATGAGATCAACAATTAATCGATTTTTGATAAGATGATATCGTAATGTCAACAATATTCTTCCAACTGCATTCTGCA